CTGGATGAGCTGCAGGTGGGGAGGGGCGGGGCCTCCGGGAATCACGGGGCGGGGCCAAAGGCGTGAGTCAGGTGCTGGCGATTCAAACATGGCGCCTGACTGCCGGCTGTGTGCGGGGAGGACTCGCCAAAGGAGCCATGGCCTCTGCCAGCCCTTCTGCCTGGGAGGAAGCCACCCCTCCACCTCTCGCCTGGATTTCAGGCAGGTTAGTTCCTCCCCGAGTGTCCCAGGTCCTTTCAGGCTGCTGTCCGGCGCTGGGCTCAGGGGGAGCGCGTCGGAGTGAGTCCGTGCGGGCCCTTTGAGAGGAAAGCCTGGGACTCCACCAGTGTCCGAGACCCTCAGTGACAGTCCCCCTGGTTTCACAGCCCGAAGCTGTGGGGCCTTCTCTTCCCAGCTCTGGAGCCCTGGGCTGGGGGCCTGCTGTGGGGCTGCGACCCCTCACTCCTCCGGGAAACTCCCGCTGCCGAGATGTCCATTCAGGGTTTAAACCCCGGCACCGGGTGTGGGCCCGCGGCTGCGTCTCTGTGATTCAGCCTCGATCCACCCGCGTCTCTGCCCCTCCTACTATCTCGATGCTTTTTCAGTTCCCTGGTTGTAGGGCTTCTGTGCAGCCATATTTCAGGAGGTTCTGAGTGACGGTGGTTCTATATTTTAGTTGTAATTTTGATGTGGTTGTGGAGGCGACGTGGACTGCGGTTACCTGCACCGCCATCCTGTTCCTCCACCAAGAAGTCAGTTTGAGAGACTTTGTTCGTGATTGTCCTGCACAAGGTCATTGCAGACACTCGACAAGTGTGTCTTGAGCTCTAGGAAGCCCTGGCGACAGGGCCTTGGGGGAGAGGTGGAATGTCAGGGCTGATGAGGACAGAGCACCTCCAGACCAGCACTCAGCTGTGCTACAGGTCAGGAGGTCAGGGCCAGGACGAGACGAGAGCAAAAAGAATGGGCGGAAGGCAAATCTGGGGCCAAGCCTGCATTTTTCAAAGGTCTCCTATCTGTTCGTTTCCCAGGAATGCCACCAGTTCAGATTCCTCCATGTGACGGTGACTCCTGGCTTCCGTGGGACTCACTGAGCACCTGTGTAGTGGGCTCGTGACAGGCTCTAGGGCCCTGGGGGAGGAGACCGCTGCACTTTAGCTTCCTACCTCGCTCCTTCCAAGGAGCCACTGGCTTCAGTCTCAGCCCTCACCCCAGGACTCAGTCCAGAAAGCTCCTAATTAACAGCTATGTTGCTTTCCAATCCCATCTGTCTTATTCCCTGGGGAAGACGCAGGCTCCCTGAGAGGGGCTCCTAGGACGTGTTGGAGAGAACCCTGGGCTGGGAGTTGGAGGCCTAAGCTCATGTTTCATTCCAGCATTTGGTGGTTCCTGGGTTCCCTCTGAGCTGGGGTCTTTTACTCTGATAAGGGATCATAACAGCTTTCCAACCAGGTAGCGTGACGATGCTTGAGATAAATTTGAGAGCCAGGTACGAGTTCACACACACACTTCAGTGCAGCATTATCTAGAAAAGTGGTCTCAACCCCATGGCCATCGACTAAAGATGGATAAACAAAACTTGGTCTGTCCCACAATGGAATATCACCCAGTCATAAGGAGGTATGACTTAGATGCACTCTGAAAATGTTATGCTAAGTGAAAGAAGTCAGTCACAAAGGCCCACGGGTCACACAGCTCCATTTATATGAAACGCCCAGAACAGGCAAATCCATAGAGACTGGAAGGCGATCAGTGGTTCCCAGGTCTGAGGGGATGGGTAGGGTTGGAAATGACTGGTAACAGGTTCGAGGTTTTGGGGGGGTGATGGAAATGTTCTAAAATTAAATTGGGGAGATAGTTGCGCAATTCTGTAAGTATACGGAAAATGATTAAATTGTACACTTTAAATGGGTGAACTTGCCCAGCCGGGTGTGGCTCAGCGGTTAAGCGTCGACCTAGGATCCAGGTGATCAGGGTTTGATTCCCGGTCTGGGCACATGCCCGGGTTGTGGGCTGCAGTTGATCAATGACTCTCTCATCATTGATGTTTCTATCTCTCTCTCTCTCCCTCTCCTTTCCTCTCTCTGAAATCAGTAAAGATATATTAAAAAAATAATAATAATATATAAGTGAACTTTATGATATATAAATTATATCCCAATAAAACTTAACTGGGTGACCTGCATTTAATCTGGCAACTCTGTTTCTGCTCCCCACCCATGGCCTCCTCTCCCCCTCAGGACATACAAAAGTTAGGGGGCATATTTCTTTTCCTTGAGGGGCAAGAGCACTGCTTCATGGGCTGGAAGGAGTAAAGGAAGCATTAGGAAGTCACAGTTTTCCCTGCCTCGATTTCCCCTTCTGCCCTTGCACTCTTGGGGGTGGTGTGTGAGGGTCTGGGGAGGAGGGGTGAATGGACAGACAAGGACGAGCTAGGCTGTGCCAGAGGCCTGAGCTGTAACAACTCCGTGATGTGGTGGAGCTGATCCAAGTCCTCCAGGCAGTGGGGTGGCAGGTGAATCACCCAGAAGCCCCTTTTTGGCTGCAGTCAGGGCCAGAGAAGCCCAGAAATCCATGGCTGGTGCCCTTAGGCTGAGGTCAGGGGTGGGGCCGCCAGGTGAGGAGTTGCAGGTGCCAAGAGAAGGCTGATTCTTTAACTGTGGCACACACGTGGGGCCGACTGCTGGCCGCATGTCAGGTGGGTGCGTGAGGGGCTTGGAGAAGGTGGACAGCTCCTACTCCAGGTCTTTTAGCATCCAGAACTCTGTGCCCAGCTGGCTGTCACTAGCCACTGAGGACCTTGACTGGTGGGGTCTGTTCTCAGTTCCTCTTCCCTGCCACTGCTACCCTCTCTCAGGTTGTGAGGAGCATGCTCAGATCTGCTGCTTAAACCAACCTCTTTTTGACCCCTCTCTGCTGCAGCTAACAGCCCATCTTCTGTTTCTCTTCCACACCAAGCTCTTCAAAGCCTCCTGTGCACCACAGCCGCCATCCTTTCCTTCCTGGTTCAGCATTAACCCCCCTTCTTGTCGCTGAGTCCCCACTGCCCCTTGGATGACTCACAGCTGCTCCCCAGCCCTGAACCCCTCAGCACCCTGCCACAGACATACACTAGCAGCTCCCCTGGGGTGTGCACAGCCCATTTCCTTCCAGCTTCTCTCTTCATCCTGTCTCTGAGCCCTCTCATCTCACCCAGAGCTTTGTCTGCCACCTCAGTGGAAAAGACTCAGCTGGAGCTCTGATTGTCCCCTCAGCCACTTCCACAAGCCCTGCTGGGCCTGCTGGACCCCTTCCACATGGGCACATCCCACTCCACTCGTCCAGGAGTGGACTTCTTATCCTTCCACCATCACATTTCTCCAGGAACCTGAGCTTGAAACCAAGTCACCTTTACCCCTCACTCCCCAGCTGCTCTGCTTGGCTGGCCAAGGGGCCCAGGGGTCCCACGTGACATCTGTCTTGTCCATCTTTGCTCTTCCATGTTTCCTCTTAGGTTTGCCTTTTAATCTCTGGTCAAGCTTGCTGCTGCCTCTGACAGGTCTGCGAATGTATCTACTGCTTTTCAACTAGGGGTGAGTGTGTGCGGGAGAGGCTCAGGTGTCCTCCAGAGATGAAGGTTGCTGGATGGGTGACTCAGTACCCACCCCTTGTGCCAGGCCAGGCCTGCCTTAGTCTTTGCAGGTGTTTGTGACAGCTAGATGAGCCAAAATTAGGAAGCTGAGTGAAAATCAAGAGAAAGCCTTGATCACAAAAGAACTTGGGCTGAGATCACAAGGAAAGCTCTGAGAGTCAGGGGGATGGATGCAAAGACTTTCTCAAGGGCGGGGGAGTGATGAATGTTGATGCCCCTGGGGGTGCTGGGGAAGTTGGGGCGGAGCCTGGGGAAGAATCGACACTTCCCAGTTTCTCCCACTAGGCTCTAGGGAAGGACCACAAACTTTGCTGTCTGTCTGAGGCAGAAATGGAAGTTATCCACCCCTGGAGACTGAGCAAAGACCTTCCTCCTCTGGGCAGAACTCTCTGGGCATCGTGAGGTGCAATAAGGGCGGAGCCTGAGGGGCCTGGAGTAGCTCAAGGCATGAGGCCCCCCAGCTCTCCCAGCCCTGACTCTGCCCTGCCAGGGCCCTTGCACACCATCTACGAACAAGGATTTCCCAGGTTAGGATCTCTGCAAGGCACCTGTGTTGAAGGAGGGTCTGCCCTGGGAATTTGGAGGTCCTTAGTAGGTACCAGTGGGCCTACCTGAACCTGCAGCATGAGGCAGCCAAGAGGGGACTGGGTCGGGAACAGTGGGGAGGACTGTTCAGGGCCTCGTCGGACCTTGCTTCCCTGGCCGGGCTCATCTGCAAGGCCAGCGGATTGGACTGTGCTGAGAGGACAGAGGGGGGACACCAGAGGGGGTGACATGATGGAGATGATCTTGGGAAGCAAGGCGGCTTTTCAGAGCTTCCACACCCCCATCTGTAACAGGAAAATTGCTGACAGACTAACGAGAGCTGAGAAAGGGTGTAGTGACTCAGGAGAGAGTCTGCACAGCGATGCGTGCAGGAAGGATGCTAGTTCCTGCGAATGTGCCCAGGTTTCAAGATTGAGGGGCGCGGTGGGGGAAGTCAGAGAGCAGCCTGAGGTGGGGGATGTTGCGCAGCTGGTGGAGGGGGTCTCCTCCGGGGCAACCGGCATCAAGAAGGGGGAGTGGACGCAGGGACGCTGCACCTCTGTCTACTCTAGAGGCTGGATTCACACAGGGGCCCCCAAGGAAAGCTCGCATTTTCCCAGCTTTTCTCACCCAGAATCACTTCCTTTGTTTAGCAGAGGGGGTGGGGAAGGAGATGGAGGGCGGGGAGGGAGGGGCCCGCGGTGCCACCCCGCCACCGCCCCCCGCCCCTCTGCTGTGTGGAGCTCGTTTGTCACCCGGCTCCTGTGCTGGGGAGCTCCAGGGGAGTCCCAGCAGCTTCATCCCCCGACCTGCTGGGTCGGCCCAGGTTTCTCCAGGCATCCCCGAGCTGGCGGCTGCGGAAAGAGTCGGGCTGGGAGGGCTTTTGGACGGAACTGCTCAGGTGGCTGTGAGCTCTGCCAGCTTTGGTGACCTTGGGTAGGTCTGTGTTTCCATTGGCATTGGGGCTTCCCGAGAGGGATGCAGGAGAGGGCTGAAAAAGGTGACTAGAAAGCCCCTTCTAGGGGCAGGGTGGGCGAGGTTCCCCGCAGAGCTGGAGCGGGGCCAGGGCTCTGCTGGGAGGCTGGTGCCCATCGTCTCAGGTGGGCGGCCGAACGCTGGGGAAAGGGGGCCCTGCGCCCCTGCTGGTGCTGAGCCCAGTCCCCCAGACCCACGTCCATCGGCTCGTCCCAGGTGTGGAGCAGGGCGCTACCTCTTTAAAAGCGTCCAGGGCCGAGCCTCCGCGCACCATGTGATTGCTTGAAAAGGCTGGGCCGGCGGCACTGCAGCGGAGCCGGGAAGGCGATGAGCTGCTGCGAGCGCGGTGCCCAGAGTCCAGCGCTGAGCGCCTCTGGGAGCTCTGGGCAGCACCAGGTGCCCCCAACTTTGGGCACTACCTCTGGGACCCCCTGGCCGCCAGCAGGCAGGCTGGTGAGCTCCTGGCATCCTGTTCCGTGGGCATAGGTGGGCAGAGCCAGGCATGGGGGACCCTGGTGGGGTGTGTGCAGCGGAGCTGCCTCACACCTGATAAAAAAGCCAGTGGAGGAGTGAACGCTGCTATCTTAAGTTGCTGAATGAAACCTCTGGGGGTGATAAGGGGAGGGACAGAGATTAGGCAGAGAAAGGGCCAGGGTATCTCGCCAGCCTGGGAAGCCACTGACTGTGCCAAGTGCGGCACAAACCCAAAGGGAAGGGACTTCCAGAGCCCCTGTCCCCTCCCAGGTGCAGGCCTCCCAACCCCAGGCTTCTTGATCATAGGTGCCGACTGTCCGCTGATGTGCCCGGCCTTTGCCTGCAATGCCGCCCTCTGTCTCGGCCTTCCAGGCCGCCTACATTGGCATTGAGGTGCTCATCGCCCTGGTCTCTGTGCCTGGGAATGTGCTGGTGATCTGGGCAGTGAAGGTGAACCAGGCGCTGCGGGATGCCACCTTCTGTTTCATCGCATCGCTGGCAGTGGCTGATGTGGCCGTGGGCGCTCTGGTCATCCCGCTTGCCATCCTCATCAACATTGGGCCACAGACCCACTTCCACACCTGCCTCATGGTCGCCTGCCCTGTCCTCATCCTGACCCAGAGCTCCATCCTGGCCCTGCTGGCCATTGCCGTGGACCGCTACCTCCGTGTCAAGATCCCACTCCGGTGAGTCCCGAGCAGCAGCGGCAGGTGCTGACCACACCCATGCTAGGTGGTGTGAGGGCTGTCTAGAGATGGTAGAAGGTGGAAACAAGACCCCAGAAAGCCAGATGTCCTCTGGGCCATTGTGCCCAGTCCCCACTCTGCCTCTGTGCCCTCTGCTCTGTGGTGCTGGGCTGAGCTGGGGTTGAAGCAGGAGGATGCTGGGTGGCTGGAGGAATGTGACCCTGGCAGTGCCCAGGAGCCCCCAGCTAAGCTGCTGCTGTTCTCAGGACACGGCCAGCTGTCCAGTCTGGAGCGGGGGTTGGGGGGGCCGGCAAGACAGTCACAGTGAGTGCTGGGCAGAATGAGCTGAGCCCACCAATCTCTGGAGAGCGGAAGGGGAGAGCAGGTTGCTGGGGGGGGTGGTCGTGCGCTGAGGGTGGCCCTCCAGAAGCCAGAGGGCTGCTCCCCCAAGCAGACCCGAGAGCCTTCCTGCAGACATGCATCTTGCCAGCCGGCTCCACCCTCTGGGGCTGAACTGTGGGCCTAAGCCGCCAGCTTACCTCTGCCCAACTCCCACTGCTGGGATCTCTGTTGCAGGCAGGAGGAGGGAGAAATGAGGGTACCTTCTCCTAATGCTTTGTTCGGTCACAAAACCCTGCAAGTCTTTGCCAGTCACAGCAGAGGGACTCATGCTGTGCCCAGGCAGCACCAGGGTGGGTGGCCTGATGGTGGCCATCCTCATGTGGGTGTCTAGTCCACCCTGGGGCTCCTCGCCAGGGCTTCCAGGCCACAATCTCGTCACCAGGCAGTGCCTGGGCCACCAAGTGCCAGTGAACGCCTGGGCCCACTGCCAGGCGGGCCCTGCTGGGACACTCTGTGAGGGCCCCTCTTTAAGTCTCGTCAGCAGTAGAGGTGCTCTGGCCATCACTGGCACCTGCCATCCCTGGAGTAGCTTCCATATCTGGGACTGGGGCCTCTGGCCTCACTTGGCAATTTGCCCAGGCAGGCCTAGCCTCCCACGTATCTCTCATTTGCATTAAATTTGTGCAACTTTTTGAAGCTTTTTTTCATGCACCATTTTTTCCTGTTCTCACCGTGATCCTATCAGGAAGCTACAGTGGGAGCTGGTAAAGGGAAAACTCAGACCCAGAGGGTCTCCTGCTGCTGGTTGGGAGCAGAGCCTGGGTCCCCTTGCTCACCTAACTTCCTGATTCCCCCATGTCCCAGCACCTTAATGCCGGCCCTCTGCCCTGCCTACCTCCCTCAGCCTCCAGGCTTCCCAAGGGATGTGGGGTGAAGACCGCTGCTCAGGGGAGAAAGAGGCAGGGAAGGCCACTCAGAAACTCAGCACTGAGGAGACAGTGCTGCCCTTGGTCCCAGGTCACGGTGGCCGTGAGGGTGAAGCTGGCCTCAGCCCATCTGAGTAGCTGGACCTCTGAGCAGACCACATTAGGAAACACGAATGTGCAGATGTAGAAGCTGCTCCAGAAGTTCTGTCTGGAGGGGTATGAAGCTGAGCAAAGGCCTGGTCCTGATGTGACAGTGGCAGATGTGCCCTCCTTGCCCTGTGGGTGGTGGTGGCTGCAGGCCTGTTCCTGCAGGAGGCAGCTTCTGTGCTCCGGTCTCAAGGAGCTGGGGGTCTTGAGGGGCTGTCTTCTGAGGGTTGAGGCTGTGGCCTGCTTAGAGGCTAAAAAACAGGCTCGGGTTCCAGTCGTTGCTGTGAGTTTCCAGCTGTGACCCCGGGAAAGTCACTAATTGATGTCTTTAAGCTGTGGTTCCCTCGTCTATAAAAGGGGGCATGAATATTGTACCTTCTCCCTGGGACACTGGCAGTTAGCTCTGTGTCCGACATGTTGTGTGCAAGCCACACGTGGTAGGTTTATGTTTGTCGTTTCATCACTGTTAACATTTGGCTCAAAGTGGGGCTGGATAGACAAGCTCTGCCCCGCCTACTCATGCTTTCATACAGTA